CCATCACCATCGGCATCACCACCACCAGCATCAACATCGTCGGCATCATCAACAACACCATCATCATCAACACCATCATCATCATCAGCATCAGCATCAGCATCATCGTCATCATCATCAGCATCATCATCATAATCATCATCGTCATCACCACCGCCATCAGCATCACCCTCAGCAGCATCAGCATCATCATAATCGACATCCGCAGCAACATCAGCATCAGCATCGTCATCATCATCGCCAGCATCACCCGCCTCATCATCAGCAATATCGTCATCAGCATCATCATCGACCTCAGCATCACCATCATCATCATCATCATCATCCTCATCACCATCATGATCACCATCAGCATCACCATCATCAGCAACATAAACCTCAGCATCATCATCATCGGCATCATGTATTCATCATCAGCATCGGCATCGCCATCATCGCCATCATCATCATCAACATCAGCACCATCATCATGATCACCAAAACATAACTCTCACAGACATAACCAGCCCCACCACACTCATCATCATCATCATCCGCATCACCATCAGCATGAGCCTCATGACCGTCAGCATCAGCGTCAGTGTCATCATCAGCATCATCAACATCATGATGAACAACATCATCATCAACATCATCACCACCAGTATCGGCATAACCGTGACAGCAGCATCATCATGGTCGTCATCGTCATCGTCATCGTCATCGTCATCAGCATCATCACCACCATCATCATCATCGTCAGCACCATCATCATCATCATCATCATCATCGTCAGCACCATCATCATCATCATCATCATCATCATCATCATCATCATCATCATCATCATCATCATCATCATCATCGTTATCATCATCGTCATCATCAGTAGCATCAGCTACGTCAACACAATCAGCAGCAGCAGCGTCAGCATCAGCACCGTCACCTTCATAAGCATAGGCAATGTGAGCATCTGCAACACCAGCACCGACATACTCGCCACCCATTCAACCACCACACTTATGATCATCATCAGCACCAGCAACATCATCACCATCATAACCATCAGCAGCAGCATCATCAGCATCAGCAGCAGCATCATCATCAGCGTCAGCATCATCAGGTGCAGTATCGTTAGTATCAGCGTAAGTGCCAGCATTAGCAGTGACAGCCTCCTCGTCCGCATCATCATCATCATCAGCATCGCAATCATCATCATCATCAGCATCATCATCATCATCATCATCATCATCATCATCATCATCATCATCATCATCATCATCATCATAATATCATCATCATCATCATAATCATCAGCAGCAGCCTCATCATCAGCATCATCATCAGCAGACTCACCATCAGCAGCATCAGCATCATCCTCAGCATCAACATCAGCATCAACATCATCATCACCAACAGCATCATAGCATCAATACCACCAGCCAAGGCATGCGTTCCCGATGGTGTACCCGACCGCTCACTACAAACAAACATGCTGACTGGCTCGCAACACGCATTTGCACGCGTCGCAGCCCCCCGGGGAGCCGCGAGGTGTCAACTAGGTCCCCATACAACTCCACTCCGCGCGATCTCACAGGAGGCCACGAACGTGGCGACAATGTTGCACTCCGCAGCCCCCCAAGGAGCGGCGAGGTCACAACGGGATCCCCGTACCACTACACTCCGCGCGACCTCCCAGGAGCCCACGAAGGTGGCGACAACTTCACACTTCGCAGCCCCCAAGGAGCCGGGAGGTCTCGACGGGATCCCCGTACCACTCCACTCTGCTGGACGCCACAGGAGCACACGAAAGCGGCGACAATGTTGCACTCCGCCGCCCCCCAGGGAGCCGCGAGGTCTCAACGGGATCACCGTACCACTGCACTCCGCGCGACCTCCCAGAAGCCCACGAAAGTGGCGACGGTTTCACACAGCTCAACATCCAGGGAGCCGCGAGGTCTCGCCAGGATCCCCGTACCACTCCACTCCGATGGACCTCCCAGAAGGCCACGAAACTTGCGACAGGTTCACACGTCGCAACCACCCATGGAGCCGCGAGGTCTCGACGAGATCCCCGTACCACTCCACTCCGCGCGACCTCGCATGAGCCCACGACAGAGGCGACAATTTCACACTTCGCAGCCCCCCAGGGAGCCGCGAGATCTCGACGGGATCCCCATACCACTCCACTCCACGTCGCAGCCCCACAGGGAGCCGGGAGGTCTCAACGCGGCTGCAGGCGCAAGCAGGACGCAGGAGAGAAGAGGAGGAAGAGAGGGAAAAAGAGAGAGGAGGAAGAGAGGGAGAAAGAGAGAGAGGAAAAAGAGGGGGAAAGAGAGAGAGAGAGAGAGAGGAGAGAAGAGGAGAGAAGAGGAGGAAGAGAGGGAAAACGAGAGAGAGAGAGAGAGAGAGAAAAAAAAAAGGAAGCTGCGAGGCCCCCCCCGCCGCCCAGGAGCCCACGAGAGAGACAGAAGGCAGGAGGGGGGAGACGGGAGGCAGGAGAGAGAGAGGCGGGGGAGGAGGAGAGAAGGGAAGACGACGCGGCCTCGGAAGCTGGGCAAGGGCTGCTAAGTCCGTGATTGCTAAAAGTCGACCTCCGGGAAGTTGTCTTCGTCCCTCCGGGAAGAAGCCCGTTGGCTGTTTCGCGTGCCGCGCCTCATTCCGGGGAGCTGATTTTTCCTTCTGGGGGGGCCGTTTTAGCAGCAACGGTTTTGACAGCCCTCGCCCAGCTTTCGACAAACGAGAATCCATTACATAACGGCTGGGACGTATCACCGTCATGGCCATCAGCATCAGCAGCTTCAGCTCCATGGCCATGGCATCTCCTCCTCCTCCTCCAGCATCATCGCCACCATCTGCGGCAGCATCACAACCGCCACCATCAGGACCACTACCGCAATCACCACCACCAGCACCACCACGAACACCCCGCACCATCGCCCCACCCACCCACCCACCCACCCACCCAGTCACCCACCCACCCACCCACCCACCCACCCACCTACACACACGCACACGTCGTCATCGTCGTCGTCACCGCCGCCGTCGCCGTCGCCGTCGCCGTCGCCGCCGTCGCCGTCGCCGTCGTCGTCGCCGTCGCCGTCGCCGTCGCCGTCGCCGTCGCCGTCGCCGTCGCCGTCGCCGTCGCCGTCGCCGTCGCCGTCGCTCCCGCCGGCTCGGCGGCCGAGGGCGCGAGGTCGGCAGCCAGGCGCTGCCTCTTCGCAGCCGGCGGCGGCCCGCTGGCCTGCGGGCGGGGGACGCGTGCATCGGCCCCCTCCTCCTCCTCCTCCTCCTCCTCCTCTCCTCCTCCTCCTCCTCCTCCTCCCTAGCAGCAGGATTTTGTTTTGGAATTGCGCTCTGATTCGCCGAGGGGGCGGTCAGCTTGGTGCGGCACTCACTAGCTGCTGGCAGAAACACGCGGCATCCAGCAACAGGGGCGCCAGGGTGTAAATGCTCCGCCCGACCGGGGCAGAGGACTCTGGGACCCAACGTGAGAGGCCCCCCCGATGGGGTCCGAGCAGACGAGGTCGGAGGATCGCGCCGCATCGCCAGTGCATCGCGGAGACGCAGCGCCGATGCATCGGCGATGCATCGGCAACGTCGGCGATGCATCGGCGCCGTCGGCGTGGAGAAGATCGGGCTCCACATCGAGCCGCATCGGCAATGCATCGGCCCCGTCTATTCGTACACCATCTGGGAGACCGAGAGAGGAGCAGATCAAAGAACTCCGGGATCCAATGTTCACTGCACCGACCTTGCAGACGTGCTGCATCTGATTTTTGCGCACATTTCGGTCAATGCAAAACTCCGAAACAGCGAGCGAAAAACTAAATGAATGTCACGTGGTTGTTTGGGAGCCTCCATTCCTGCACAAAACAAGTCCGCACGAAATTCACTTCGAAATCCGGAGTGAAATTCTCGAGGACACTCCGGGCCCATCCCATGGTTTGCCGAACGCAGTCGGCTCAGCGATGTTGGCACCATGACAATGTCTCTCCGTAGCTCTGGCCATCGCTCCTTTTTTCAGTTTCGTGCGTGGCTTTTCGCCACATGATCAAGGATGCTCCTCGATCGTCCTCGCCAAAGGAAAAATGCACACGTCCGAGCGAGGCCAGGAGTTACTTGACTACAGAAGTATGGATCTGAGCGCTGCAGGAGCAGACTTCCCACATGAAAGACCCCGCTGACGGGTAGAACGTACGAGCCAGGAGCGAGGAAGGGGACGGGGAGGGCGCCCACAGGAAGCGCCCGACGAGAAAAAACTACCACGGCAAGCCGAACACAAAAAAGCAAGACGTGTACGCAGGATTGCCACACTCCGTTACCAATCAGGAGCACATACACCTACAACATGGTATTGTCGGACTTCACTGGACAGGACACGCGAGAGGACAAAAGACCCTTCCGAGGGCCACATTGCCATAGGAATGCAGGAGGCACGGGTCGCGAGACACAGGACACAAAGGTACCCTTGATTTGGCAGGGTCGACTTACTAATCAGGGCCGACTGTAGAAAGTCACCCACAGAACTTGAATAGTACATACATGGCGACTACTGCACCACTCGGGCATGCTAGACAAAATGCACCGCAAGGGATGCTACCGACATTGCTGGGGACCTGACCGAACAAGGTAACATCAACACCATCGCCAGTCATTACCTAACCCGCCTAGCTAGATACTCACACGAGCAACTGAGTTACGAGAAAAACGGCCAGTACAACACCAGGGACTGACTCCTTCCCATGGTCAGCCTGGTATGGAATACCCTTGGCACTCCTAATGCTGTGCGACAGCCCATCCACGTACCGCCGCAGCACTTTGGTTCAAAAACGTACGACACTGCTACGGCCAAGCGATATCCTACCACGCGGGTTCGCTACGCGCATGGTGGCGGTGACGACCAACTTGTGGAAACCAAAGGGCTTCGATATCGCTACTCCGCGGACCTCTCCCGGTCCAGCGGTGGCGACGAGGGCCTCCCACAAGGCCCGGAAAAGGGAAAACGGGCGAAGGGGAGCGGCATTGTTACCCTTTTTTTGAGCAGGGACCGACCGTCCCGGCATTCCTAGTCCTACCACGAAATTTTCTTAGAACCCGACAGTGTTCTAGGAACAAAAACAATGCTCTAAGAACATGAACCCCATGCGATAAACCAAGGCCGACTCCGCCAGAACTGTTCTAAGAACATGTCGCGGGAAACCACAAAAGGTTCTTAGAACATTGTTTGGTACAGTCGGGCCGCTGAAAGAAGGAACGCTAAACAAGGAACGAAGCCCCTTCTTGGCCCTGTAAGCGCCTCCGTGCCCCAGGAGGGCAAGAGGAACAGCACTGGCGGAACCTGAGGAATATCGAGCCCCTTCCGTACCCAAACTGTTCCTTATTTCAGCGTCTTGACTGTAGGCTCCTCCTCCTCCTCCTGCTCCTCTTCCCCCTCCTCCTCCTCCTCCTCCTCCTCCTCCTCCTCCTCCTCCTCCTCCACTATAGGAGGGGGAGGAGGAGGAGGAGGAGGAGGAGGAGGAAAAGGGGGAGGAGGGAGGAGGAGGAGGAAGGAGGAGAGGAGGGAGGAGGAGGAGGAGGAGGAGGAGGAGGAGGAGGAGGAGGAGGAGGAGGCGGGGAAGGAGGAGGAGGAGGAGGAGGAGGAGGAGGAGGAGGAGGAGGAGGAGGCCAAGGAGGAGGGGGAGGAGGAGGAAACAGGAGGAGGAGCAGGAGGAGGCCAAGAGGAGCCCAAGGAGTAAGGGAGAAAAAAGGAGGAGGGAGGAGGAGGAGGCTAAAGGGAGGAGGAGGGGAGGCCTAAAGCCAGGCACGCCAGGACGCTCGCCGCTGCCTGGCTCTGGTCGTCGCCCGCCGCCGCGACGCCGCGGCGTCGCTTCGCGTGCCGCGACGAGCCCGCTCGACGCCGAAGGCCCCCCGCGCCGCGGCGGCCGTCAGAGGCGCCGCCCCCTCGCGGAGCGAGGCCACCCGTGGACACGGCGCAGGACGCCTCCCCCCTTCAGAGCTCCGCCTCAGCCTCCTCTCTACCTCCTCCTCCTCAGCCCTCCCTCCGCCTCCCTCTCTCCTTCCTCCTCCTCTCCTCCTCCTCCCTTCTCCTCCTTCCTCTCCTCTCGCTCCTCCCCTCCGCTCTCCCCCTCCTCCTCTCCACCTCTCATCCTCCTCCTCCTCCGCCTCCTCCTCCTCCTCCCGTCCTCCTCCTCCTCCTTCCTCTCTCTTCTCCTCCTCCTAGTCTCCTCCTCCTCCTCCTCCTCCTCCTCCTCCTCCTCCTCCTCCTCCTCCTCCTCCTCCTCCTCCTCCTCCTCCTCCTCCTCCTCCTCCTGGCTCAAGTCCTGGCCTCTGGGGGCCACAGGACACCAGCATTGCCATCCAGGGCAGGCCCTGGGTGCTGGGGCTCGAGCAGGCCCCCCGTGGCCTTTTCGGCATCACGGCAGCCCCACAGGTTTTCGCGACCTTGTGCACGCCAGGGAGGCGTCGGGATCACAAGAAGCGATGGCCAAGCAGCAGAAGTACATCACATGCAGCCGCCGTGGCTGCAAGGGCTGGGCTTGGAGCAATCCTGGGACTAGGCATTATACTCAATGTGGTGCCCGTTTCAAGCAGCAGCAGAACGACAAAGCTGGAGGCGCCCGTGGCAGTGCCGCCAGCAACCTCGGTGCCGCGAGCGGGGCAGGCCCATCAGCTCCGCCTACAGCACCAACCCCTGAGAAGCCAGGCCGCTGGCGTGGAAGAGACCGCTCTCGTGGGCCCTGTCATCCACCAGGCCTCCGCCGACCAGGGACCGTTGCCTACTCCGACGGCGACGACAACCAGCCACAAGCAGAAGATCCAGTGGCCCTGGCCCAGGCCCAGGTCACTTTCTGGAAGAAGTGGAAGCCCAACGGCGAGGAGCATATCGCGGCGCTGGGCAAACTCAAGCAGGCCAAGGCTGACATCTTGGCATCAAAGTCATTGGAACAACAAGCTCAGTCTCTCGCAGACCAGCTGGAGACCCAGCGCCAGAAGTACATCACACAGACGTCGGACATCAAGCAGCTCATGGAGGTCATCCTGGACGCCTGCGAACGCCACGGCAAGCTCGTGCAGGAGGCCAAGGCCACGCAGCAGGACATCCAGTCGCTGGAGAGTCAGCACAACATGGCCAAGCAGGCCGCCATGCAGGCGGCCACCAAGGATGACGACCTCTTGGAGACGCTGCAAGGGGTCCTCGCGGCACGGATGCCGCCAGGCAGCAGGGCGCCGCCAGACCTCTGCACGAAGGTGGCGGAGCTCGCCCAATACTTCGACGACCTCACGACGCAGCACGAGAAGTCGCAGGTGCCTACGCCTCGCCAGTGGGCGGACCACGACTTCCCGCCCGTCGGCCAGAAGCTCGAGGATGAGATGGAGGTGGCAGAGGCTTTGGCACCCAGCGGCGCGGCACCGCCTGTACCGCCTACTGCTGTGCAAGTGCCGTGCCCCACTGACGAGGAGCTCGACGGTGCGACTCCGATGGATCAGTCTCAGTCCTTGGCGCGCGCGGCGTCCGCCCTCCAGGCAGTCGCCAGCGGCATGGCCGAGATCCAGGGTGCGCAGGGCCCCGAGGCCAAGAGGGCGCGGGCTGCGGCGACGGCCGCGGAGGCCGCCGCTGGAGCCACGGGGTCCACGGACGTCAAGCCGTCTTCCTGACAGCCTCTACACGTTCGCGACGATCAACGGATCGTGCTGGGGAGCAGTGAAAGCCTTTGTAGAGTCTTCCACTGCTAATGATCTCACCTTTATTTGCGCCCAGGAGTGCAGACTTGATGCTGGGGACAGCATCACGCGTCAGATACAATGGTGCTTCGCACGTGGCTGGCTTGCTCACATATCGCCAGCTGTCCGCAACCCCTCGGGTGAACTTGTCTCGGGGGTGGCGGTTTTAGTTCGGGACGGTTTGGACCTGGGGGTCCAGCCGCTCTCTTTTCCTCCAGGGACGGACCTCTCCAGACTAGCTGGAGTGGTCATCGAAGCGCCAGGGGTCCCAACGTTTGGTTTGGTGAGCGCTTATTTTCAGGCCTCTGCGGGCCTAAGCGAGACAAATTTGAACCTGCTGGCCACTCTTGGCCAGACTCAAGATCTTGTAGGCAAGCCCCTCCTGGTTGCTGGCGATTTCAACTTGCAGCCTGAGAGGCTTCAGAAGGGCACGGATTTCCTCACCCGTGCCACGATGGCGGTGGCGGCGCCGAAAGCGGCCACCTATTACACTAAGAAGACGAAGTCGACCCTAGACTT